AGTAACGGAAAAAAAGACGTTGGAAAAGAGAGGGGGAGGAGAAGGAAACGCCGTTGTTGTTGTTGTTGTTGTTGTTGTTTCTCCTCCTTTCTCCTCATGTGCCGGGCAGATGTTGCTGGTGCTGGTGCTGAGGTTGTTTCAAACTTTGTTTTCATCGCCGCCGTGGTGTTTTTCTTTCCCACGTGTTTTCCTCCCCGCCCCGCCATCGCCGCCCGGCAGAAGTGCTGGTAAATAGAAGCGTGCGTGAAGCGGAGGCAGAGCGCGGCGTCGCAGTAAATACAAAGCTACAACGCGATTTAGGCAAAAACAAAAACAAGTAAAAAAAACGGCTGATATTTAATCGGTTTAGCAAAAAGTATCACACATTCACACACAAAAAAAAGAGAGAGAGAGAGAGCGAGCGAGCGAGAGAATAGCCGGGGGAGTCAAAGAACTTCAATATTAATTTATTTGTTAGATTTAGCCATTTACTTGTTTAAGCTTCGTTGATGTCGGTTACGGCGTTGGGGTCGAAGCGTGCCCTGTACGACATCTGGCCGCTCAAAAACAAAAAGTTCTTCGTCCTGGTGGACCCGCACAACATATTGGGGGCAACAACAGATTCCCACGCCACAGTGAACACCATTGACTACCTGATAAAGAAGAAGGGGGCTGTGGTGGTGGGGGCGTCGTTTGGAGCACTATGCGGTATTCCATTAAACTTGCCGCGGCAGGAGCGCGAGGAGGCGATTGAGGCCTTTCGCCGCGAGGAAGGCATGGGATTGAGCAACTTTTTCTCCTCCCTCTCGCCCCAAGCGAAGCTGGAGGTGTTGCGGGGTGTGCCGGGGTTTGAGGTCCCATCCACCTGCTCTGTCGACTGCGACACCGGCAAGACACGGGCATTTTCGCGACTGGAAAATGCGGCAAAATTCGACGCGTTACGTCGCGTATTCCCAAAGGCGGAATTTTCGCCGGTCTCGACTTTGCCGTTTGTCAAGGCGCTCTCCAAGCTTCTCCCAGGTGTTAAAGTAACGTTTGCCCGAGATTGCTTGCGCCCACCGCTGCACCAGCTTAGCCCCGGGGATGTGCTGGTGCTGGAAAACCTGCAGTTTTATTCCAATGAAACTTCGTCGGACCCGGCAAAACGACGGGCTATGGCGGAGGTGCTTGCGGCAGGCATCGACGTGTTTGTAAATGAGTCCTTCTCCACGGCCAGCAAAGAGCACGCAAGCAACACGGCCCTGCCCAAACTTCTACAACATGGTGCTGCAGGACTTTCCATGGATCGGGAGTTGGCGTTTTTCTCCAAGTTTCTTACCCACCCTGCCCGGCCTATCGCGGTGGTGGTTGCCGGGACACATGTCCCGGAAAAACTGCTCTTGATACGGAGTTTAATAGGCAAGGTGGACAAGATACTTATTGCGGGTGCATTGGCAATCCCATTTTTATCAGCCAAGGGATTAACGTGTGGGAAGTCGTTGAACTTATGTGAAGTAGTAAAGCGTACACAACTAAAAAGCCGAGGTGGAAACATCGTGGAGGAGTCTGTTCCTTGTACACAATTAGCCGATGAAATCATTTCACTATGTGAGGCGAATGGGACCGAATTGGTGTTGCCTGTTGACCACGTGGTGTCGAAGGAATTGACAAACAGCAAGGAGACCGTGGCTGTCGTTGTAGAGTCTATGGCTGTTCCTTCAGATGTTTATGCTATGGATTGTGGGGCCAGTACAATATCACTTTTCGCCAAGTACATTCGTGCGTGTCAGTGTGTATATTGGACTGGAACCTTTGGCTGGACCAATCTTGGCTACAATGCGGGCACACATGCCTTTGCCACGCTGCTCGCACAAGAGCGAAAACTATCTATCATCGGCGGACGCAGCACTGCCTCTGCTGTTCAAAAGTTTGAGCTTGCCCCATATTTTTCCCACATTTCTGGAGGTGGGGTGTCGTGTTTAGAGGTGCTGCAGGGGCATCTTCTTCCTGGCGTCGAGGCGCTCTCGGATGTGACTCCGGGGTTGGACTCTAAGAGTACGGTTTCCGTAGATGAATTGTTGAGAAATCTTCCCCTTTTTTCAGGGTGCACGTCGCATCAAATTCAGGCTGCGGCACGGAAATTTGCGCGACGTCTTCATGCGTGTGGAGATTACTTGGCATACCGGGGAGATCGCCATGTAAGTATGTGGGTGGTTGCCGAGGGGGGGTTGGTGGCACGCCTTGGCGACAACACCTTGACCATCCCTTCCAGATTCATTGGACGTGGACAGACGGTGGGCATGTACGACTTTATTACCCAAGCCTTTGCGGTGGAGACAGTTCAGGCAGCTGTGAGTGGAACAATAACGTACCAGTTAACCTCCTCCTCTCTTAATGACCTCCTTAATGAGCATCCAGACTTGGCAGCGCAGTTTTTACAAAACGTTTCTGAACCCCTATCGATGATGGCAACTGAAGAATACCAAAACCAAGCTTCCTTGCGATGCGTCCTGCGTCGCGCGGCCGTTTGTTCCCGCGTGCCGGGTCCGTATGCCGTGCCTGAGGAGTGGGGGTTAATTGAGGATATCGTACAGGACGTGGTGTCGGCCTTGGCCTTGCAGAAATTGACGATGCAATACACTGATTACCCTGCCCTCTCTCCGATGCAACAGGACAACTACCTTTGGGGAAAGTTGGCGTGTCACGGTGGTCTTCTTCCGGTCCTAGGGGCAGCGGTTTTGCGTGATGTGGCCTACCATAGAGCCGTTTCGCTTGGATTAATGTACGCAACTATCCGATCTGCCCTCGTTACTGCTCCCCTGCGTTTGATGGCAATGGGGCGCAACTGGAGTGGGTTGACCTACAGGGCAGTATTGGACGAAGCACTGGCGTCAGTCGCCGTAAGTTGGGTTCCACTCGCGGCGCATGCCAGCTTCCTCGCCATGCAACGCCGTTTGGAACTTCTTAAGAGGTCCAGGTGTACGCGGTTTGTGCAACTTCTTATCATGGTCGTTGTTAGACTTTTTCTGGGATTTATTGTTTTTGCCCTCTTGTTTCGCCGCAATCGTGACGCTGAGTCCACGTCGCTGCTGGGGCTCTTCAGGACAGACGCCTTTAAGGCGTACGAGCTGAAGCAGGCGATTTCCGTCTTATTGCGTTTTGGGGTGCATTTGCTGCTGGGCGTGGTGTGGCGCGCGCACGCGCACGTGGTGTCGCGGCGTCATCGACGCCAACTTGACGATCGAAAGTAGCGTGAGAGGCAGGCGATCGCAAAGGAGGTGGAGAAGGCGAGAAACGTCGCCACCGCCCCACGCCTGGTGTCGGGTGGGCGGCGGGTGAGAGAAGCAAAAG